CCCCGTGTTTGTCTTTGCCCTGGAGAGCCCTCAGGGGCTTGAATCCACCTCTGCTGGGCAGTGACCTCTTCCTGCCCCCACCCCACCCCCATTGTGCTCTAGTCATGCCCACCCGGCTCTTGCTCCCTGCTGCCACCCCGTCCTCGCCCCCTGGCCCCTTCCAGTCCAAGTGCTTTTGAGCCAATGTATCTGTTCCTGTCTCCCTCTGGGTGTTACAGGGACGTTGGGGCAGGGTAGGAGGCGGGGTGGGGTGGGGTGGCGCAGCCAGAGTGCTCCCTCTCCCTCCCCCTCCCTCGCTCCAGGACTCCCAAACTTCTTTTGCTCTTGAGCAATGTTCTTAAGGCTTTCCTTCCTGGCTCTTGACGCGGGGAAAGCACCGGAAGAGCAAAACTGGGCCCCTCACGGGGCCACTCACCTCTCCCCTGTCCTCGCCCCCACCTAGTCAGCACGAATCTGAAGACTCATGGAGCAGAAACAAAGAGAAAACAAAGTACTCCAAGACTCTGAGACCAGGCGGTGGGGCAGAGACACCTGTGGCCCCGCTGTGGCTTTTGGACAGTCTGTCCAGAGGCTGCGACTCCTGCCCCCTTTTAATGGTGGGTGAGGGTGAGGGTTGGGGCAGAGCCCATGGCTCCACCAGCCTCCCTTGGCTGGAGGAAGCAGCCCTCCTGCAATTTTGAACATGCCCCAGGCCAGGCCCCACTGGGAAGGTACCCTGAGAACAAGCCCAGCACCCAGCTCGTCACAGGCAGACATTGTCACCCTGGAGCCCTGCGTATCTGAGGAAGACCTCTCTCTGGGGATGCTCACAAGCCTCTACCATCCAGAAAAGACTCCAATTCTCATGGGGGTGGGTAGGCCAAGAATTCTCCCCTCAATGACAACATCGAATACAGGATGGTTAGCGGCATGCTGAAGGTCACATGGAGATGCGTGTCCCTTCTATCTGCCCCCAAGTCATTGTCAGTGTGACAGACACAGCTACTGGTAGGAGCGGACCACCACGAATGCCTATAATGTCTGTAAGCTGAGGACTTACAGACCTCTCAAGACAATGGGGATGGAATGTGCTTGTGCTCTATAAAGTGGGAAACTGGCCACCCAATGTGTATTTGACGTGGATTCAACTAGGACTGACTGGGCAGGAGGGTGTGGGTGGTGAATGGCCCCACTCAGGGGAGAAGTCCTGGTGGCGTACTGGTGAAAGCGCTCTATTACGAACCAACAGGTTGGCAGTTCAAACCCACCTCCTGCCCTGTGGGAGAAGGATGTGACACTGCTTCTGTGATGTGGAAACCCCCAGACTAGCCATCATCTTTGAGATCTGTGGGGCGGAGGGGTGGGTAGGGGCTGTGGTGGGGGGAACCGGGCTACAACTAGATCTGGCCTACTAGTCATACATTGGGTCCTCAACCTTATCTTTTGATGTCACGAGGCTGAAAACATACCTCCTTGGTCGCCCCGATGTGAACAAAGTGCTATTATTTGTGACCACCCTTCTCCACTCAAAATGCACACAAGGCCAGCTCTTGTGCTTAACTGAACCAACTTGACAAACACCAGTTTGTCAGAACCAGTTACCGCCCAAGACCCCTGGCTCTGTTCTCAAGGAGCTGTCTTGACCAGAGTCCTGGTGTGCTCCTTTGCTTGGCTAACCAAATAAAGGCGCCTCCTTTCCTTTCATTTTGTGTCTCTGTGAGACCTGGGGGACTGTGGTCTCAGATATGACAGCCTCGGGAAGCCGGGCAGTAGTTCTGCTCTGACTGTGAGTCAGAGTCACCCTGATGGCCTTGGGTTGAGTGGGGTTGGGTTGAGTAGGGTTGGGTTGAGTGGTGTTGGGGTTGCGTTGAGTGGGGTGGGGGTTGCGTTGAGTGGGGTTGGGTTGGGTTGGGTTGAGTGGCGTTGGGTTGGGTTGAGTGGTGTTGGGGTTGGTTGAGTGGGGTGGGGGTTGGGTTGAGTGGGGTTGAGTGGTGTTGGGTTGGGTTGAGTGGGGTTGGGGTTGGGTTTGGTTTTGGCAATCAGCCCAAATCAGGGACTTGGTTTCTTGTGCTGCTGTACCAGAGATCACACCAGTGGGAGCCTTAAGAGAAATCTGTTTTCTCACAGTTAGGAAGTTTGGGTCATGACTAGTTTTTCTTTGTGGATGATCCAAACATGTATCTTTCTTCCCCACATGTGCCTGCGCAGACCTCTGTGTCTAATCTGCTCTTTTCAGAACTCAGAAGCGGTTATATTTAGAAGCCGCTCTATGGGTGTATGTGTGTGAAGAGATTAACATAGCAAAGAAAACCCCGCTTCCAAACAGGGTAGCATTTATAGGTATATGGGTTAGGTTTATACACGTTTTAGGGAACTTGATAGCAATTCCGTAACCAACAGCCTTCACGTCTCATGGCTTGGTAAACAATGCTGGCTATCTCTCATGTCCCAGAGCAGAGCATACTAGCATCGGCTGGGGAGGCGCTGGTCCATGTAGTTATCTAAGGACTCAGAATTGTTCTACAAAGCTCTATCATCATCCAGGGTTCTGGGCCCATCCTTAGAACCTCTCTCTGTGACTGGGTGGCAGGGAAAGAAAGAGAAAGGATGGGACACAATGAGGGGGGGCTGTATGATCAGGCCAAGGAGTAGTTGGTAGCCATAATGTCTAACCTCAGTTCATTGGTCAGAACTCAGTCACATGTCCCCACTGAACCACACAGAAGGCTGGGAAATGTTGTCTTTCTCTGACCCCAGGAAGAAAGGGAAATGGAGTTGGAGAACTTGTAGTGTGGCCTCAAATTCCTAATATAGAATGCAAACCTATGTGTTTATGGTTGGTTTTCTGGGTGTGTGTGGGTGGGTGGGGGGTGTCCCATGACTTCTCTCAGATCTTTAAAGGGGATCTGTCTCTGCAAATTGCTAAGAACTGCCATTGTAACTGCATAAATAAGAAAGCACACAAAAAGCAAGACACTGACAGGTCTGTCCTGGTCTTGGCCAGGGAGAGACTGTGTGATAATTACATAATCTGTTGTCAATGTGAGATTATTAAGAGTGAAGGGGTGGAGTTTAGCCTGTCAATCAGGTCACAGCTTGATGGCCACATTTTGGAAGCACTAAGGAGATAAATAGCTCACTGGAGGCGGGACACACACTCACTCCCTGGGAGACATTCCTGTTAATAAGCCACATGGAGACACACTGATGGAGCCAGAGCCCTGGAGCTGGAAGAGCCACCTGGAGACCCACACCAGCGCGGAGATGCTTATATTGCCACTGGATCCACAAGACTTCCCACCCACTGTGATCTTCCTGCATTCCACGTCATTGCATGTGTTTTGTGGGTCTGAAGAGGACTTTATAGATTGGTATCAGACATATGGGCTAATATCAGACTTAAGGACTTGATCTGGACAGAGATGTTTTCTCAATATTCAATTGCTCTTGTATATAAAACTCTTTCTTACACACACATGAGTGTCTATGAATTTGCTTCTCTAGTCAACCCAGACTAGCACAGAGGGTATCCTGGTTCCTGGTTACCATGGTGAGAAATTCCCTAACTCTTCTTATTCTGATGTCACCATGCCACCCTTGCAACACTGTTTCTGATTAAAATTCACTTTCTGCGGGGCAGGGTCAGCCTGCACTGACCTGCCTGTCCTCCTGGCCCATCTATTCCTCCCTGTAAATGAGTAAGGAAATATTCTGCAGAAAATCATTTAAGAAGCCTTGTGGTAAGTGCTCCAGGGGCGGAGAGCTTGATTAGCTTAA